CACACACACACACACAAATAGCAGAATTACAAGTTTGATATATAATTATAAACATAGCTAAAAGTATTTCATAAATTTTTTATAATTATGATTGCAAATTCATTGCAATTATGATGCGACTGCAAATATTTCTTTAATTACTTGTATTCTTGGATAAAATATCTGCAAGTGAAGAAGTTATAAAGAATTTTGAGCCATTCGGTAAGAGATTTGCAACATGAGAGGACTATTTGTGTCTAACGGAAATAGACAACCGAAAATAGACAAAGATATAGGTTTTCAACCCTTGCAACCTTGTGTCATCTTTGGCAAGATTTACCGTTCTCTCTTTCTCTCCTCCCTTTCTTCTCGCAATAAAAATATTACAACAATATATTTCCATTCAAAAACAACAAAGATATGCTTAGCTCTGTCATGAAAGCGAGAAGTTTATACGATTTGATACGCGTTCGAAAGCTTATTTGCCAGAAACGCGCCTTGACAGCAAGTTGCAATTTTTTTTCGCTTACCCACATTTCGCTTCAATTACTAATATTTCTTATCGATATTTATTTTTCTCGGCAATGAATCGTAGGTCATAAAAACGCGAACTTTGTTATGATTGATAATAATAATTTACGAGCATCCAAAGATCGACAAAACGAATAATGTTAACACGCTGCGTTGAAAAATATAAGCACATTCGCGATCTTTGCGATAGCTGGAAGAAGTTGTGTCATAAATATATATTTTCCCTTATATATAAGAAAGAAAATTAAAATCGAGAAAAAAATAAAATGTATTAAAATATATAAAAAGAAAAAATGATAAAATAATATCATTCATAATTTTTAACAATTGTTTAATTCTCTTATCTTACAAGTTAAATGCAAAATTTTCAAAATAAATTTTTTAATATTTTTATTCACCAATGTAAAACCTGTTAATTGATGATGTTAAGTACGTTAATATAAAAACCTGTTTAAGTTGCCTCGTGACATTTTGCAGATTTTAATAATATTACGAAAATATCAATACTTTTGATATATAATTATTTGCCAAGTTCCGTTTACGTAAAAAATGATTGCAGAAATTGATTGGAAGAGTTATATAAATTATAATATATGTCTAAATATTACGAAGAAAACACTATTCTTTTCTAGGTAAACCTAGAAAGCCAATGAGAAAACAAAGAGATTCAAGTTTTAGAAAAACATTTCTTCATAAATAATTTATAATTATTTCCTGATCGTAATTTTGTATCTTCCTAAATGTCATCTCTCGTCTGAATGAATATCATTATCCACAAAATAAATTTACATTACGAATATTTAATAATTTAGATCTACATCTTACATTGTAGAGAAGCTTGATAATCATATCCGTCGTTCTCAGAAAAAAAAATTATCTTCAATTTACTGAATCATCTCAAGCCGACAATTTAATTCAAACTTTATGTAATAAAATAATATAGCATTACGATCACGTTATTTTTTCTTCACATAATCAAATTAATTATTTCTAGAAATTCATAATCATGAACATAAAAATTATATGTAATGATTATCATTACGGATAATTTTTAAATCCATGGCTCAATATGCTATCAAGCTGTTCTCTCTCTTTTGTTCACCTTTTAATAGTAAAATAGTAATTTTCTACTAGTTTTCAAAAAAATCCATCGAATTCAGATAATAAAATAAAATTTTATTGGCTTCTCACAGACGGTTAAAATATAATAGTTAAAAATCGCACATAAAAAATCTGGCATTAATATCAATACTAATACTAATACTAATACTAATCTTGCATCAATTTGCAGAATTTGTGAAATTTGAACGAGATACTCACCAAAGTATTCTGATATCCCAATCCATACTCCTCGTTTTCTCTTTGGCCAGAAGACATTTTGATTTCTTATCTTGCGGCTAAGTCGAAAAATCTTTTAATCGCTACTTTCGACGAAGAATAGTGAGGCAGAAGAGGAATGGTCGAAAAAAAAAGAAGTCAATAAATAAAAAGAAAACTTGCAGATGAGTCTGGATTCAAATTTAGCTTTTTCTTCTTTTTTCAGAAAAATTGATACCGCGCTCCTGAAAAAGGCGGAAATTCAGAAAAAAAGAATGACAGATCCACGAGTGGCCATCAGAGCCAGGATCTTCTTCTTCTTCCTCGTTCCTTCTCCTCGCAGTGGCAGCAATTCATCAATGATACACTTCATCTCGAATGTATAATAACCAGCGTCGTTGTCAGCGGCGTTGCTCAGCGCGTCTCAAGAATTTCGGAGCTCCGACTTTCGGCGGAGCGATCTCACATCGTCTCACATGATCGTCACGATTTGCCGATAAGTCGATTACGAAACACGCGAATGAGAGATCAGCGTGCTTCCTCGAAGGGAAGTCAGTTGTCGCTGTCAAGCGAAATCTCTGATATATACGGAAAAGCCGATTATCTTTTAGTATGAAAATAATCGTTGTTATTACACACAGAATATAATGATTGTCCGTTTTTTACGGACAATCAGGCTAAACAGGTCGTCAGGATGCCAATCGCAGCTTACTTATACATATCTTCACTTGGACAGCTTAGGATCGATATATCGTGTAGCTTCGCGACGACTTACTCCGAATTTATCACACCGATAAGACCGCACTCCAGAAATGACCTTGCCACTCGCGTATATTTCGTCAAATTATTGAATCCATCGAAAATATTCTTCGCGCAGCTATCTCTGAATCGTCGATCGCACGGCAAGGAGCGCCGAATCCGGTCGGATCTCGAACACATTCGCGATTTAAATCGCAAAGACGACGCGCTTTCGAAGGGTACGCGCGAAAAGCGCTGCGACGATCACGTGGACTAGTCGGTAGTTTTTCGCAGCCGCGAACAAAAGATAAAGAAAGGCTGAAAATATCATCCAGTCACTGTACAAACACCGCGAGTACTTAAGTAGCGCGATCGGCCGACGATCGCGACGAACTCGGTCCAACAATCGATCGATCCGAGAGATCCGTTGTCGTCTCCGTAACACACGAGGCGGACTTTCGAGCTGGTAAATAAATAGTGACGTCGAGAACGTTCCGCGAGCCAAGTATGACGCCCCTGTCACGATAGCGGTATGCGAGCAACGTTTGACAGTGCTATCGCGCTTTGCAGCGCGAGAGCGATACCGTTCCGCCGATGGAACCGATCGAGTCTGCACAGCAGAATCAAATCCCGTAAGATCCCCCTGTGGTCACTTCACTTTCCCCAAGTTGTCCCGCGAAATTAGATAAAGATCTTCAAATGTGAAAATTTTCAGACGATCGCACTGAGCTGAAGTTAAATGGAGCTACTGGATAGGAAAAGGAAGGGACGTCGCCTCTTCGAAATTCTCGAAAAGGAAAAGGAAGAGATAACGAGCGCGAGAGAAAATGGAATTATATCTTCCGAGGCGTCGCCAGGCCGGTTTCGCGTCGCTCGTACGCGGAAACGTCGTATTCGTTCGGATCCGTCCACGTGATTTACGTCGCGGAGTGCGGGATTTTTTAGTCAAAGATCGTCGCTCGTCGACGACAAGCGCGCGTTTCGCGAGCGCCTCTGACTGCCCGGCTGGACGGTCGTGAGCCAACTGATAGGTGTATGAATGAAGCGGCCGAGATTTCAGTCACTCTCTGTCTTTGCAGGAAATTCAAAAGCCCACGTCGACGACGACGATGACAAAAATGAGTAGTGCTGCTCCTTGCGATCGATTTCTCGCGATTTGCGGATTTGCGCGACACTCGCCGACATAAAATCGCACAAGTCGTCTGCCGTGTGCTTTCGCACACTTTCGGAGTAAAATTTCGCCGCGACATTTCCTTCGGTTGTTTACAAAGAGAAGCGTGTGGATTTTGCGAATTTTGCAGACTTTTGTTCCATCAACGAAGCACTCGTGCGACGCACAAAGAAATTTTATTGCGATAATCTAAAATTAGTAGAACCGAGCGTTGTCGGTTTTGCCTGTTAATGATTACTTAGATTCTTACATTAGAAACAATAATCATAAAAAAAATAATTAATATTTTAACCGCTTTTATTTCGCGAGATAATACTCTGTAAATTGTGTTTTTTAACATTTTTTTCAATCATCATGACGATTGATAACGTCGAAAGATTAGAAAGATTAGATCGAGCGACGATAATAATAATTAAATATTGAATAGGAAAAATGTTAAAGAGAATTGACATTTCTTCAAGAATAAGAGGTTCGACGACGGGAACGCATAACTTAACTTTATCTAATGCGATAAATTTTCAGCGAGTCTAATGAATCAGAGTGTGGGCGACGACCTTTTCCTTTTCCGTTTCTACATGCTAAAGTCATTTTGCTAGTATGCAACACGAGCAGCTATCATATTATTATACAAACATTTTTTGCTTTTCTGCGTTACTAAGAGCCATCAACCTTGACCGTCGCGAACGATACTAATTGGCCATTAAAGAGACACGATAATTTCGCCTACCGGCGACCTCGGTAATGCTCCGAGTTTGAATCACGTTTGGACGATCGAAGAGATAGCAAAAATGTATTAATGCCCAATAGTGATCAGTCATGCGCTACTTTCATCGTTGCAAAATTATCTCAAATTATTTTATCTATATCTGTATGAACATTTCCTCCTATGACACATAAACACATATACCATCGTTGAAAATGAAAATATGTTTTCTTCTTATTTCAATGTGCACAGCGTTTATCAGTATCGCGTATTACATAGAACATATAGCAAGTTTTTTGCATAATTTATGCCGCGATACCAAAAATAGTCGAGCGCTTCTTCATATTCATACGAACTGCGCTATTCATACGAACTTCACAATACCTTCATTAAAGGATTTTTCCATTGATCTAATCGTACCATGCGCTTATCGTATATCTATATCATGTATATCTATCACGTGATTCTTTTGCTTTGTTTTAAAATGCAATTTTACAACGCGTAGCGTTTGATTAAGCGAAACCCTTCGGAAAGGCAGCCTTGAATTTTCAACTTTAATAGTGCAGAAGCTGCTTATTAGCGAATATACATAGGCAACTTTTGACCGAATGAAATAAAAAATTTGTAGAACAATACTATAAAGTGGAAGAGCATCGAAGTATAAATATTTATGAGCAGACATTTCCTAAACATACAATCGATATAGAATCCGAAGGGATATTCGCGGATATTATATCGGTAAAAATACACGCGGTTGGCGAATCACCATCATTTAACGAAGCATCCGTTTTTATGACGCCGAGAAATGAGAGATGACTCATACGATATTATTTCTAATGACTTCAATACAATTCGACGTGGTATTGCCAGTGAAGAAAATTATGTCAATTACGTATTATATAGAGTATAATCACTTTACAAAAAAAAAATTGCAATTTCACTCGACGAGTATTTTCAATTACAATGTACGCATAATGGAACAAACGCAGGAGGCTGGAGAAGAATTGAAATATTAACAAACTCGATCAAGAAGAGTATACAAACGTTATATATATTATATAATTTATAATAAGCATTGCTGTAACAAGATTAACATTATAAGAATATCCCAGTGTTTTTTGTTTCTTTAAAAAAAAAGGAAGGCCACCCGTAATACTGGTTGTTAGTTAATAATGTGCGCTTCGATACAATAATAAGTCTCAAAAATATGTTCTTCTTATTCCCAATTTTTGTGCAGACATTACAGATAAACATGTATCCTATGTTCATGCTTCATCTAACTTTGCGGTCCCCTTCGTATGTACTCCACCAAATACATAACTTATCTTAAAAGAGAGAATGGTTGATTGGTACGATACCGTGTCTTTCCTTTGGTTTGCGCTATCATTTTGGAGAATTATTGGAAGAGTTGTCCGAAGACGAACTTGGCACAACCGAAGCTATGACAAAAATAAACAAAAATGAACAAAAAAATGTAACAATGCGAAATTAGAGATGGTACCATTAGACGTGTAAGTCCGTGTACTTACCAATAATAATAATTAAGATAATGACACATATGATACCAATAATAAGCATCATTTTAAGATTCTTCCACCAATATTTTCGCTTTAGTTTGCCAGCATGCTGCTCGAATTGTGTTGCACCCTGTTGCAAAGCATCGGCACGATTCTCCAGCTCCGAGAGTTTCTGATCTCGTTCCAATACTTTCTCCACGTTAACTTTCATTATACCCACGACTTCGTCCACAGTGGCCTGTGTTTGTTGTAGCTTTTTGCTGGCACCTGCTTGCTGAGCATTGTGTGGTCCGCCCATTTCTCCTCCTGCATTGCCACCTTCCATAATTCTGAAACATCAACAGAGAACTTTCAACTGATTTTTGAACTTTGAACCAAAAACACATTTTGATTCACAGTCATCATATAAACAATTTTAAATTAGGAGAAATAAAATAATATAAAGAATACTAGTTTATTTATACTTGAAGGAAATTAGGTTACAAAAGAGAAATTAGGTTACAAAAGATTTGTTCGTGTTGCTTATATTTCTTGTATTCAAGTTTCTTGTCTGCACTTCTTTCTCCATCGTCTGTAAATATTTCTATCCTGTTTTAAGTACTGAAAACTCTAGAAAGTAAAAGCAATGTAAACAAACTTATTTTAACAGGTACACGCCCTCAAACGTAACCTTAAAAGTCACACATATGTTTTTGCATAAATTTTATTTGTGCATCTGTCAATCCTCAATATATTCACTGTTTCATTTTGCTAACAAGTAAAAAGGTTCCACGTACATAAAGATAAAAACTTGAGGAAATACTATTATGGGAAGTAATAGAACGACAAAAGTTTAATCGCAATATACATTTGTCGCGATTATTTTACAATTTCAATATTGTGTATATAAAATTGTTTCTTACTTATCTAAAAGGATCAAATACAAGAACGAACCTAAACGGGCCAATTAAATCTGTAAATATAGATGCGATGATATTTCACAAATTATTGCGATGACGGCTGGTGACTAAAGTTTACAATACAACAGTGGCCACAAGACACAGATAGAAGATGGCGATAATCATGACGTCATGGATATTATAATGACGTGTTTATCAAAAAGAAATAGCAAAAATGCGTAATCGACTCAATCAAAATTTTTTTATTTTATATAACTATATATGCCAATGATGTAATTTATTGGTCATAAAACATTGCAGATCGTTGTCATAAATCAATTAGTTTGCTTTTCATATATCTGAACAATGCACATTAGTTATACATATTTAAAATGAAATAGATATATAGCTAATCAATTTAATGTTTGACAAAAGCGAGATAGAAGATTTTAGTGCAATCCCGTGCAGAAACAGACAGCAAATCTAATTATGTCTGTTTTTTGTTGCTAAACTTCACATAATTTCATTTTTTCTTCTTTTTTCTTCAATATGCAGAAAAAAGAAAGAAAAATGAACTGTGCAAGAAATTCAGTTGAAAAGAACATACTTATTGACAATAAAGTCAAAATAGTATTTACTTGCGCCATCTAAAAACAACTCACTTCGTCAGATTTACTTGGTCGGTAAAAATGGTAGTCCATTAAACTTGAAACTTGGTGATAATTTGGAGATAATTTATATTCTACATAAACATTTTTTCTTCTCATTATTCTCATTATTTAATCTCATTATTGTGATGTCATTTTGAGATGATAAGACAAATCTGACTTTCAAAATTTATGTATGTATTCCTTGATGAAAATATTTTGCTGGCATTCTCCTCATTTAATTATTATTTCAATTCAATATATGCAATTTTCAATAAATTTTATGATACATAATATTTCAAAAATTTTGAACAGTATTCTTTAACTTTTTTTTATATTTGTAGTATTACATTGAATTTCATAAGGACATAAATAAATAAGGATCATCAACTTTTATTTTATTTTTCATCAATTACATAAATATGATAATACATTATGAAATTAATGAAAAATAAAATAAAAGTTATTAAAAAATTACTGAATAATTCAAAATAAATCACAATTTTTTTTACTAAATTTAATATGTAATACTGTGAAATTTAATATGTAATACTGTGAAAAATAAGGAAAGTTAATGTATACTGTTGAAAAGTAATAAAAAATTTGGAAATAATGAAATAGAGAGAATTTCAATTGAGGGAGAATTTCAGCACAATATTCATCAAAGTTTACGTCAAGATAAATATATTTAAAAAATACCAAGTTATAAAATTTGTTAAAGTAACATACAAAAAGAGCATTTCTATCGAAGAGCAATAAAACAATTTTATAAAAAAAGAATGTGCAATTTTTACATTATATTGAATATGTATATTTTATTACTGCTTATATTCAGATAAGAGAACAAATCCTGAAAATTTAAATCCTGTTACTTTTTATTTTATATGGATGCTTTATTACAATTCTTTCATTTCTTATCCAAAAATAATAAGTACAATTACATATTATGTTCTTATATGTAATAAAATATACAATCAAAGCGAATGAATGCATATAAATAGATTGAACAGAAGAATACTAATTCTTATGCATTAATTTTTTCATTAAATATTATAATAATGAAACGTGAAAATAAATTTTTTATGTATATTGTATTCCATTTTTTACACTCAAAAAATTATATTTTTAACTTTTTAAAATCCAATCTTTAATGACCTGAAATATTTAAAAAAATCATATTTGTAAGTACTATTATGTTAATTATTGTTTTAAGAAAATCGTTTAAACTTTAACTTAAAAAATGTTGTGATAAGTACAATTACAAAGTATAAAAAAATGATTTACGTAATAAAGTCAAACTAATCAAAAGAACCTGAAAGAACATTCGATATGATATATTACTTTATTTTTTTTGTATGTTTTAGTTAGTATACTATATTATTACTAGTATATATTATTTTCATATAACTATTATTTAAATATAAACTGATAGTATAAATACCTAATGATATTTACACTATATACAATGATAATGATGATAAACGCATAATTTTCAAGGCTTTCATAGCTGTTTAAGTCGAATGTTTTTACATAAAAATTTTTTTTCTTTAAATGAAATTTTTATCATTTATTTTGTATTATTACTCTTTAATTCTTTGTGATAA